CCCAGGGGGGCTGAGAGGGTATAGGGGGATGCGTGGGCAGGTGGGGGGCAGCCAGGAACTGCTGCCCCCCACGGTGCCGCTCGCCCTACTGAGCCCACCCTTCTCCTCTTCCACAGACGCTGGCCATGGGGCTGATGACGGGGACGATCGCCAGGTACGCCCCGGGAACCCCGCGGTGACAGGAGCTGGGGTCCCTCCTGTCCCCCACCGTGCGGCTGGCTCAAATGAGAGGCTGCTGAGAGCTGGGGGACACCCCGGTCCCCTGGGCTTGGGGACAGTGGGGTCCCTGCCCAGGATCGGGGCTGTGGCGGGTCACCAACACCCCCCTGGCAGGGGGATGCCGAAGCATGGGGTGACTCTGGTGTCCCCTCCATCTGCAGCATGTACAAGACCAACGCCGTCCTGATCGCCATGCTCATCACTGCCATCGTGGCCATCGTTGTCACCATCTTCTGCTTCCAGACCAAGGCAAGGAGGGGGATGTGCCCTACCCTGCCCTGGGGCAGGGCAGGCGCAGGGAGCCGTGCGGTGGGGACACCCCGGTTCTCCCGTGACACGTGTGTGTGTGTGTCCCGCAGGTTGATTTTACATCGTGTCCAGGGCTCTTCTGCGTGCTGGGCATTGTGGTCATGGTGACCGGGATCATCACCGCTATCGTCCTCTCCTTCAAATATGTGAGTGGGGGGGACAGAGGGGCTATGGGGTTTCACGGGTGTCCCTGGTTGGGTGTCCCCAGGGCTGGTACGGGTAGGGGGGTTTGGGTGGTCCCTCTTTGCCGGGAAGCAGGGTGTGGTGCCGGCCACGGCAGAGGCAGCTTGCCTGCAGGGAGAGGGTGCGACGGCATCGGCATCAGTGGCATCTCCTCGGGAGCCAGGTGCGGGCAGGACCTGCTCTGCCTTGCCTGCTGCCTGCCAGCACCCATCTCACCCTGCCCATGTCCCCTTTCCCGCGCAGGTCTCCTGGCTCCATATGCTGTATGCGGCCATCGGTGCCATCGCCTTCACCCTGGTGAGTTGACGGCTGGGGTGGGCAGAGGGTGTCAGGCAGGGACTGGCCCCCCCCCCCGGTCCCTGCCTGACACCC